GGCGGGGAACACACCTCTTTTGCATAAGAGTACAAAGTCCAATGGAAGTTCAGAGGAGTCGGAGATTACAGGAAGGGGAGAGTTGGACATTTCATAGAGAATTGATTCATGAGTTGACATGGGGGGGGGGGATATATATATATAATCTTACTAAGAAGAATTGATGACTTTGAGCTGTGGTTCTGGAGAAGAGTATTGATTATACCCTGAACTGCTAAGAAAACAAACAGGTCCAAACTAGAGAGGGTTAAACCAGGCTGCTCCCTGGAGGCAAGGACTTTGAAGCTCTGTCTCACATACTTTGGGCATGTAGCCAGGAAGGACCAGTCATTGGATAAGGAAGGACATCATGCTTGGAAGGGTAGTGAGTCAGCACAGGAGAGGAAGACCTTGGATGAGATGGATTGACACAGTAACTGTGGCAATAGGGGCACGTGTGTCAGAGACATTGAAATTGGCTGAGGAAAGGGTAGAGTTCAGAGCTATTATTCATAGGGTCACTATGAGTTGTAATCAACTCGATGGCACATAGCAACAACAACAACAATAACATATATATGTATATACACACACATACTTTAATGTAAATGAGTTAAAGATAAGAGTTCCTTTTCATTTCTAAAGCTTAAGAATGCTTAGTGCACAAAGAAGTAAACCATATATGTTACTCGACTTGAATATTATTGAGGGTTGAATTATGTCCCCAATTTGTTGAGCTCCCAGATCCCAATATGTTGAAATCTTAATTCTGTTATTGTTGATTGCCGTTGAGCCGAGCACGACCATAGTGACCCCATGAATAAAAGGCCTGAAGCCCTTCACAACCTTCGCCATTTATCAAAGTTCACAGAGTTTCCAGAGGCAGCTCTTTAGGAAGTGGATGCCAATTCTAATTCCAGACCTGTCTTAAACTAGGAGCTCCACCAAACACTGTCCACCATGAGTAGCCATTATAGCATTTGACACCACTTTGGCACAAGGTTCAGCATTATAGCAACCCCAAGTTACCTCAGAACAGATACTGACAGAGAGTGCTGTACCACTTACAAGAATGTTCCTCCAAAATATAACAACCAATTTTTAAATACAAAGACCCTCCCTGAGGTCTAAAAGTTGACTCTAAACATGTTGTTGTTGTTGTTGTTATGTGCCGTCGAGTCGTTTGCGACTCATAGCGACCCTATGC